AACTATGAATTGCATAAAAATCAGTTTTGCTTTGAGCTAGGAATAGCCTTGGTAAATAAATCCTGAGAAGCATCATATTCTGCCCTTTTCTCACCTATAGTTGTTGATCTCAGCTACCTCTCCTTTATCTTCCTTCCTCTTCCTCACATACCTGCTTCCTTCATATTCCGGACATTTTAACCTCTGGTGTTGACTGTAAGCCGAAGGGCTGAGATACAGCTAGAATAAGCACTAGAAGAATGGGTTGGAAGCTGAAATGGCCTGCAAGGTTGAAAAATTGAGAGCTAGTGTTACCAATAAAGTACTTGTTAAATCTTGTCAAAGCTCACTGTGCCTTGTAGAAGCTAAAACTGGCTGTTATTAATTTCCCCAGTAATTCAATCCCTAATATTTTGTAGTAATAACAGGATTTTTGGTCATGCATTTTCCTTGGGGTTACTTTTGTTCTGTCATGTGCCATATTTATTTTTTGTATAGGCAATATTAGTTGGGTCTGATATTTTGAGTTGCATCATTCAGATAGAACAGCGAAAGAAGGCAGCTTCTAAAATGTAAAAAATAATTATTTGTCACCAGTTTTAGTTTTGGATTTGGAGGGGTTTTTTTCTTGTTTGTTTTTTGAAGTCTAAGGTCTCAACCAGAAAGTGAGAGTCAATTTCTGACTGACTGGAGGAAGAAAGAAACTTCCTATCTGAAGTCTAGGTTTTAATTGCCCATTTTGAGACCTGACCTCCCTCCAATTTGTCTGTACTTTGTTACTGCTAGATAAAGAAAGGGAGTAGACTAGTCCGTTTTTCTGATCATGTCATGAAAAGCAGAAATGTGTTGGAGAGTGCATGACCTGGTTGCTTGTGAAAGTGTTTGAAACGGAGATCATAAAGCACACTGAAATAAACATGTAGGCTCTCTATGTTCTTACTGAATCTAAAGGTTTGTAGGGGAGAGCTGTATTGCAGCATGTGAGGGAGGTAGCCTGAATGTGATGGATGGTGAGGAAGATCTAATACCTATGGCTGGCAAGAAGATGCAGATTAAGACTTAGGGGGGGGGGGGAAGAGGGACCTGTCAGTGGAGACCTCGGAGATGAATGATGTGTGTTAACAGTAACATGTCCCCAAAATATGCAGCTTGGATAGTGAAATCTTACTGTAGCAGAATCTATTGCAGCATCCCTTTCTGCTTGCCATTCCTGAGTGGTTTCCTGCAGTCACCAGGAGGTATACAGTGCCTTTTCTCCTTTTGTTTTCATCTGCTGACAGCTGCCTCAGAACTGAGATTGTATTAGCATTTCAAGCAAGAGGAAAGTAGAAAAACTGAATTTTCAGTAGTTGTATAATGAGCTTTATAGGTAAGAAACCTTCACTTGCTTGGAGGAGTATCCCCTCTGTATTTTGACTCATGAGAGATATATTAGCAAGCTGTGCTCCATCCTGGAAGATAGGATGTAGATTCCCAAAGGAGTGTGGGTTGAAATGCTGTCTTACCATCAAACTCAGATCTCGACTTTGTATCGGTATATGCAGCCGTGCTAAGTTGTGCATACTTGGGTCCTGATGACTAATAACAGGGTAAGAGCTTTTAGTGTGGCATTTCTTGGCTTCTGAAGCAATTGTGCAACTGTAATATGATTCTCACAGGCATTTCTATTATATTAGAGATGCTTAGAAATTATGTGTTGGCTGCAGGGATTTTAACTGTGGTTGAGCTCAGTGCTACCATTCAGAATCAGATTATACACACTCCTCTTTCAGCTCACTTCCCTTTCCAGTGTATTCCAAGGCTTTATTCTTGCTATTCTTTCTGGGAAGCTACTCCAGAATCTGGCAGATTCTAACAAAACACACTTCTTTTCCCCCACAAAAGTGTCCATGGCAAAATCATTCTCACTTGTTCTTGTGTTGATGTTGTTTATCAAATATTTTGAGTGCTTATACCATAATATTTAATTATACCACTGCTTGTTGTTGTGTCTGAAGACCTTGCCTTACCCGGTGGCCTGAGGGTCAGTCAGGGTTCGGTGATAAAAGGAGCCGCTTGCTTCATTTGGTGCAGGTATGGGAAGAGGCCTGGGGGTGAAAGAGGCTGGGCTCACAGTTCTGCCCTGGAGAACTGGGTTCTGGCCTGCTTGGCCCTGCCTGTCTCAGAATCTTTTCTAAGTAGCAGCAAGCTTTTAGGAAGTGAAATTGTGTATTTTTGAGAGCTTTAGATATACTTTGAATGTTAAATCATTATGAAAAGAATTGTTTTGTAACTGTACAGTGAAAGCTAGTGACTTCAGCTTTTCTAACTCATCTCACAGGGATGCCATTGAAGGTAAATTGCTCTATAGATTCTCTTACCATAACAATCCCACATTTCCACATGAGGATGCTACTAACTCTTCTCAGAGCAGGATTTGGCTGTTGCACAGTAGGATTAGCCCAGACAAGACAAGCTATCTTTTGGACAAAGTGAAGCAGAGGTTCCAGAGTTTTTTGCTGGGGTTATTTTCCTAAAACTAAGTGTTCAGAAGCAAATCATATATAATTTCATATTGATGAGTTGTCATAAATCAGAATGACTCCCATTTCAGCATGTGTGAGCTGCTGTATAGCATAAACCTTCTGTGGTGCTAAATTAATTTTTCCATCCTGTAGGTCAGTTGCAACTACGAGCCTCACCTGCGAGGAAATGTGTATGTCCAGTATCAGTCGTAAGTACTCGCAGTCTTACTAAGTTTTAGAACTAAACTGCAAAGTCCAGTAATGAACACTTTGTATAATCCAAGTGATTCATTCTCATACTGTAATGGGAGCCTAACATTGGTAAGTAACATCTTAATGTATTATGATAATGCTATGTGTCATTTTTACTTTTTAAAGGGAGAAAGACTGTCAGGCAGCTCTTGCTTTATTCAGTGGACGATGGTATGCGGGACGACAGCTTCATTGTGAATTTTGTCCTGTGACAAGGTGGAAAACTGCTATATGTGGTAAGTCACATAAAAACTTGGAAAAGAGAATGTGTGTTACTGAAAGAGTACTTAATGGAAGTGAAAAAGAAGGAATTAGCTTGTAGCTTTCAGATCTGCCTAATGTTGTGGTTCATTTCTGTGGAAGACAGATATGCTAACTGGCTTGTGTAGATCTAGAAAAGAAGGGTAATGTTCATACCATGTCATCTGAATGATTCTAGTGGATTTACCTTGGATTGGAAAAGAAAGTTTGGATCCTGGCTTTGGAAATAATAATCTTGAAGTGGAACTACAGGAAGCACTAATTTATCTCTTTAAAAAGCAACAACAGTTTCTGAACCATCAACAGTTCTTAGCAGTAACTATCACATTTGACTTATCTGTACTTAGGTTAAGGTAGTAAAATTATTTATGAAAATTGTTTTAAGCTAAAACCTTCATAGCTGTTAAAAAGTTAATTCCACGAAAATTATATATTGAAAATTAATCTTGTATGAATTAAATTGGTAGGTGGTCAGATGCATGTTTTTCTGTTTGAAGAAGCAAAATTGAGGTTATTAAGTTTCTTTCCAGTAGGTACATAATGAACAAAGAGATTTAACACGTCTGGTTCATAAAAAAGCAAACCCTAATCTGTTGCAGGCTTATTTGAAAGGCAGAAGTGTCCAAGAGGGAAACACTGCAACTTTCTTCATGTATTCAAAAATCCAAACAATGAGTTTTGGGAGGCCAATAGAGACATACGTATTTCTCCTGAACGGACTAATCAGTTGTCTAAAAACTCTGAAAGGAGAAACAGAACGAGCCATCGTGATGACTATTACAGCCGGTCAAGGAGAAGGGGCAGCCCAAGCCCGGATCATTCTTACAGGAGAAATGGAGAATCTGAGAGAAAAAAGAATCGCCGCAAAAACAAGAGAAGGCGCCGATCTGGAAGGTCAAGAAGTCGAGAAAGGAGGAGGTCTCGCAGCAGGGGGAGAAAGAGGAGAGGCCGCAGTCGCAGCAGAAGTCATAGTCGAACACGCAGCAGGAGCAGAAGTCGGAGCTCCTCTCGATCCAGGAGCAGGGGTAAAAAGAGATCGAGCAGCAGAGGAAAAAATAGTGAAACTCCCAAAACAAAGTGAGAATTACTTTTTGAAATTGGTAATTGATCAAACATAAAGCTGACAAAGAAATCTTTCCAGTAGGGCATCAGATATATTTGAGTTTCAAATAAAGTGTTCTTGCACATTAAAATGTTTCTTCCTAATAAAGGAACCTAGTTTATTGTGTGCTAAGCTTCAGAAAATTAAAAGTTTAAGTCCTATATAAGGTGTGAATGTCAAGTACTCTAGCTACTCTGTCCCTCTGAACTGCTGCAACATCTGGACACATACCAAGTACAAATAGAAAGAGAAGTAAAGCTTATTCGGTATATGCTTATTTCTGTGTTATGTGTGTGTTAAGTGTTTACTGTCTCTGTAAGGAGTTAGTACAGAACAGCCAGTGTGCTGTAAATTCACACCACAGCAAACTGCAAATTGAAGTCTGCATAGAAGACTGCCATTTATATTTTCCATCTGTTTATGGGAAATCTCTTTCTAGACAAAGGAAATAAGAGTTGAAAAGGGATCTAAAAGGCATCACTGTTTGTATAATACTTCCCTAGTAGGAGCTTTGTGGTCATAAGTGTTGGATTTTCCATTCTCCCCTGACTGAGCTGCTGAGCTAATTGCCTGTAGAGATTGCAGCAGACTAAAACCAAGTAGGAAGTACACAGAAAAACAATCAATTTATTCAGTACCTTAATCCCTAAGAAAGAGTGGAGACCATGCACTTGTAATCCTCAGGCGAGGATAGAAAATACTTTGTATACCATTTGTAGCTGAAAACAACTTGCCTAACCTGTGATGGAGTGGTGGAAAAGGGTGTACATCTGGTAACTGAAGATGCACATGTAGTTGTGAAGGCCCAGGATGGTTGCAGAGTGGCTAAAGAATCCAAAGGGCTTATACCTGAAACAGTACTTCAGGTTTCTGGGAGAGCATGACTTGACTTAAAGCCACCTTAGGCTTATTTTACAAGCAGTTTAAAGCACCCTACGGTCAAGGTGGAGGGTAGGGTACTTAATGAAGTTATCAGGACAAAACGTTTTTCAGAGGACAGCTATGTACCTGCAATTAGATAATTGCTGACAAATATTTCTTCACTTCTAAATGAAAGATTTGTGCTGTTAAATGGACTGTACTTCACACTGCTTAACTTCAGGTATTTAACTTGGGCACTAGGCGACCTTAGGCGCTCAGAGAGAGCAGTTTGTGGCACTGAAGGTGCAGTTGCCCTGAACAGTCTGCAGAGATACCTCCTTCTCTTGAGCCCCTCCAAAGAACTTGGGCTCCTGCTTTTAGAGTACAGCTCAGACCACCTAAGTTAGAAGCCTCAAGTAGACACGAAGTGGTCCCAAACAGGTATTTGTTACATCAACAACGTTAACGCAAAGTCCTGTAGAAAATCTGGATTTCCAAACTTTACGATAGCATTCTTCACAGCCAGAATGTTTTTCCCCCAGGATAGTTAAGAGTGAATGGACATTGCTTCTGGATATAATATATATATTTTTGCTTTTCTAAATGCATACTGCACCTAGCATGCTGATTATACATTTTCCTTCTTTCATGTGTAACTGTTGTCCAATATGGAGTAACACAACAAAAGTGCTATATATCGATGTTCAGTTCAAACCCAACTTTCATTATATATTGTCATAACTGTAGGCAGAATTGTAGCTTAGTTAATTTGATTAAATGTTTTAGTTATTAACAGATGTAGGAATTGTAATTTAATAGCATAACTTTTGAAATAATAACTTGGTTTGAAAGGCATATTTCAAAGGATAGACAGCACTAAGTTTTAAATTATATCTGAGAAATTTGTGACCACTGGTTTCTCATAATGTATCTTTTTCTGACTAGACCTTACAGACAGATTCTCCCCGAGGTTTCTATTTTTTCATAGATGCTTACTCGTCTAGTTGGGTCACTTGTGCAGAACATGGCAAACTCTGGTTCAGTTCCCTGGAGCAGAACCGAATGGGCATTTCCTATTTGCTGAGATGTACCACCAGCAGGCCAGTAACATCTTCCTTTCACTGGTGCTGCCTTGCTTCCCTCAACTCATGCTGCTGAACTAGCCTGCTGGTGAAGGCTCTCGGGTGGAGGAGTTGAGTCCTGCCGGCTGTAGAATGTTGTACATCCCGTGGCAGGCTATTGCTGAGCATTATCTGAGCAAAATCAGTTACTGAGCTCAAAACAGCAGCAGTGGAATGAGTGGTGGGAAGCTGTTACCAGGCGGGTGCAAAGCGCAAAGCAGGCCTCTGTAGGATTAGAAAGCAAGTGCCAACTAAGACCCACGTGAGAATTCTACAGGTGATTAGGCTCCTTGTCCCCCGTTTCATAATGGGATCTGGGAAGCTGAGCTGCTGTATTTTTTTTAAAAGTTCTTATAAGTAAAAAAAAAACCCAACACTTGCTCAGAGATGCATGTAAAAATTTAAATATACTTTGCTAATATAATGGCTGAAGCTTCAGCTTTTTTTTTTTTTCTTCTTGAGGTCTGGACCCAAACTTACTGACTGTACCTGCGCAGTGTAGGACTGGTAGCTGTAATTATCATTCACTTCCACATGCAGTCTGTTTATTACACAGAAATTGAGTGCTGTAGATCTGACATTTAGTTTGCATTTGTTAGCATGAAATCTGGAATTCAACCAGCTTTCTAACTTCAGAGTTCATGTATTTCAGTATTGTTTCCCTACTTCATAATCTTAAGTAGTGTTATATGCATGGTTTTGTGTTTATTAGCTGAGTGAGCTATTTATTCTGAAGAGACAAAGAGACTAGAAGTTTTTAAATGTTAAGCTTAATTCTTCTTTTTTCAAAGGGGAGAGGCCCCAGAACACAGAAAGGATTTAAATTTGCAAGGAATAGCTTGTTCTCACTCCATGTTATTCTGCATATTCCACGTAAAAGGACCTTATAAAGTGAATTACTCTTGGCCAAGTTTTGTTTTAATGACTGCTTAGAAGCAGCAGCTTTCAAAACTTTTTTTCAGTTGTGAATTGTGCAAGGATCACTGAGGTGCTTTAGAGCGATTATGAAAGCAGGTGTTTACACAGAGCTGGAAGAAGTCAGTGGGTTAGGGCCTTGGAGGCAGGTCGCTTCGCAGTCGGGGTGGGGAGCAGGCAGGCGCTGCTCCTACCCTTGGGGCATTAAGATGCCATGTTTCCCGTGGCAGAAGGGGGACAGCGCGGCGGGAACTGCCCGGCAGCAGCACGGAGGCAGCCGGGCCCGGGGCCTGCCCCTCGCAGCGGCGCGGCTGCTCCAGTTGTGGCTGGTGGCTCCTTCCGTGGGGTTCCCCTGCCTGCCCGGCCGGGCGGCGCCGGGGGTGACACGGGAAAGGCCTCTCCTCTGGGCCTTCCCTTGCATGTACATCCCAAGTAACGTCTCAGCTTCGTGTCCCTTGATAACAGCATGTCTTTCTCAGATCGTACACGTTCAGTGTATCAGTAATTGCCCTGAAGTTTACCAGTGACATTCCTGTGGGATAAATAATATTTTTTCAAAAGAATACAAGAGGCTGCTTAGAGATGCTTTTGCTGCTTGTCCTGAATCAGCACTTCTTACAAAACATTCGAGTCTACTGTAGTTAATAACTTAAAAGCTTAATTGACTTTCTTAAATCTAAAAAGTGTTGCTCTTGTTTTCACCAGAAGTTCACTGTAATTAAAATAAACCCCAATTATTCCACATAACCTATTTAGCACTCAGGTATCATATGAATTCAGTATCTGATAAAAAAACCCATATAACACTGACAAGTTACACTTCAGTAAACTGAGTTACAACACAAGCTGTACAGGCATAACTGATGGCACAGGGTAACTTAAAGGCAGCCACAGCATGACCACCATCATGGCATTAACCCAAAGGCACAGCAGGTGCTTAGGAAGGCCTCCTCAAGGTGAAGACTAGGATTCCGTAAAGTTGAAGATACTCAAGCCAACAATCATTTGCCTAAACAATCTAGAAATTCTGATTCTTTAGCTTCCCCCCACCTCTTCCCTGTAAGATAGGAAATTTAAGAAAATATTTTGTTAAAGAAATGCCCTAAAATGGTTAAGTTTTCCCCATGCTTTTGCTGATAACATCAACCAGTTCAGCTCTTTTAGAAAGCTGGAGATTAATCTGAGATATTTTTGGTTGAGATTTAGGATTGTGACTGTTGCATTGACTTGCTCATAATTTCATTTAAGGAACTGAATATTCAGGCTGTATTATCCAGAACCCTCTCTCAATATGTGGTTTGTTTTAATTTTCAGATGAAGTGGCACCACCACTTTAATAAATTTCATGTTTAATGTGGTAAGCCTTCCAAAAACTTGCTAATTTATTGCTTTCTGTACAATTTAAATGGATGTAAATAACTAATCTTGGACACAGTATACTCACACATTTTTTTAATGAAGTGCTCAAGAACAGGTTAAGCACTGTAATAAAATTTCCCTTTTTTTTAAGCCAGCACTGAGTAGCCTCTTCTTTCCTCTCAAACACCAGAACTAATTACATATAAACACACAGCAATGGTGTAAAAATGAACATTTATTACAACTAAACCAATGTGACAGAAGTCAAACAGTTTTATTTGTCACAATCACAACAAAGCTTTATCCAAGCCAAGCACATACAAGTGACAGTGTAAACTTTAAAAACATGTTTCATACATATAAAATTGCTTCAGGTTTGACTTAAGGTAATTTTACTACTTCAATCTCACACACAGGGTCATTCTGCTACCACTTCATCCACATCTATCCCTACACCTTGTGCACCAGGGAAATGCAAACCACTGCTTTTGCACGCCCCAGGATAAAAGCAATCCAGTATGGTTAAGTCCCAGACAGGGCCTAAGCAGACAAAACTCTTAACACCGTGAGTTCACAGGCTGCACCCTGGCACTGTTGCAGAAGCGTGCAGGCACAGCCCAGCCCCAGCTGGCCCTCCTGCTGCTGCATGCATTTATACCAGGATCTGGATCAGGGGACTCGCAAGGCTGAGCCTTTCCTGGTGGGTTAAATTTAACCTGGATCGCATCAAGCCCACAGTCTAGCTCTCCAGATGGCTGGGTAAATGCTTACGCTAGCTCTGCATGACTGCTTCCAGCAACACCACCAAAGCGACATTTTGTGAAAACGTGGCACTACTTACTCAAGTGAACAAGCTAAAACATTGACTCCTTGCGTGAAGTTACCAGGGAGGGAAGGGAACAGCCCAGCCACCTTCTCAGGGACAATGGAGACACAGAGCAGAAACTGGCCACTCCGAAGTGTGGCACTACCTCCTAAAAAACTCAAAAGCATAGATGAATTGAATTTCCTCAAGTGAAAATAATTATGGAAAGTCTGCTAGAAGTGTTAAAATAATACTTGTGATTTGCAGTGAATCTACTATACAAATCTAATATTTAAAAGCCCTCACTGCAAATTAGTTCGTTCAACTGTACATCACGCAGGAGTTCCATAGGCGATGTGTCACATGTTAAAGGTGTAACTCAAGAAATGCAGTTAAAATGACATTGACATTTAGGGTGGGGTTTTTTTAAGGTACCTATGCACCCATTAAAGCATAACTACAGAACACCAATAAATACAAATTAATTTGTAGAGTTTGAAAAGAATAAAAAGTCCCTTTTAGAAAACTCCATCTTTCCCATCTTCAAAAGTATCCGATTCTCATTATGCACCTCTCTATGCAGTCAGAAAAGCCTACCTCCTTCCGTGTGTTTATGTCCAGAGCAAGCTAGTATCAGATCTAAAGATAGTTTCCTTGTGTGGAATTTTTTTAACTACATGCATTCCCTTTTTAGTATAGTAACTTGCAGAGTTTTGCTCAAAGTAGCTACACATAAATACACCTTCACTCCTAGTGAGCTGATCAGTTTGCAGTTCTCTTGCAAAAAGCAGTATCACCTTAACAGTTTTTACCAGTTTGATATGCAGATCCAAACAGGATTCTTTGGTATAATGACAAATTCAGTAGTAAACAGGTTATTTCCAATCTTTATGCATCAACCGAAACAAGCAGAATTATCACAAATGGTGACTAAAATGTGGATGAACAAAAGTCTTTGGTTGCATAAACACAATTTCTACACCATAACATTTCATATTTGGAGTTGTCCATGTAGTTTCTTTTCATTTAGATATGCTGTGTCATAATGATAAATTTATTTCCTGAAGTCAAGATTGCTTATAAAAACCAGTACACTTATTGAAGTCAAATGCAATTTTCCTATAAATGCAGTGAAGGGAGACACTGAGTCAATTTAAATCTAATTCCCTTTCATTTATGATTTTTGGACTTTAGTTTCTTGCTCCCTTTTCAAAGGAGTATTTTTCCTGTAGGCCTGAATGAAGCAGCTTAGCAAAACAGTAATACTGACAAACAGCATCTTACACCATTAGCTAAACATTACAATGAAGGCAGTGAACATTTACAGTATGAAACACTGAGATGTCATCAGCTGAAGTGAAGATTTATGTCAATCCAATTTCTTCAAGTACACTACGTGGGGTCTCTGCTTCCTATGGAGGGAAAATTTGAGACAGTGGTAAATGGACCCTGTGCTTCTACTGAACAGTACTATACATGAGTTAGTATGGTATGAAAGATGCTTAATTAAAAAAGAAAAGCTGAAAGACATGAAAATATAAAAGTACTGCAGATCGCAAACATGGTATTTGCTGCACTTTTCAAAGAGCTGTTAATTAGATTGTCATGGTTCACAGGAATCGCTGGTAGATTTTATTGCCTTTAAGCATAATAAAAATAAAGCAATTCAGATGTACCAGCAGGGAAAAAATCATAACCCAGTTAAGAGATATGAATTGGGGAGGGACAGGGAAGCATCTTGCCATGGAGCCAGTGATTTTTGTGGTGAATTGTTTCACAGGTCTCTAAAAATCTGTTACGGAAGAATGAGTAAGTTGACAAATGGAATGGCTGATGCAACTAAGATACAGTATCCCTTACACTCTTTATTAAGAGTCAAGATTTTTTTTATTTTTTTTTCACACCAGTCCCATTTAGTTCATAAAACCAGGTCAAGGTACCTCGGTACACCTGGTGTCAATAAACTGACCCCTACAGAAGTGGAAAAAGTACCAGGCCTGGAACTGTATTATTCCACACCAGGCAAAGTTTTAGGTTAATTCTAATCTTAAAAAGCTTTCTTTAGATTAAGAGCAAGTTGCTTAATACAAAATTCTAAAGGGCTTTCAGTTTTGTATTGATTATTCCTATAGCATCTGAAAAGAAATAATAGTTTAATTAGAAACATTAGGCTGTCCTCTTCCATAATTATTAACAATAACATAGTAAGTAAAAAGGGATACTGTGTCCTTATGGAAACATAAACAGTTTTAGTATCCAGAGTATAAATACACTTACTTTAGCATCCTAAAACAAGACATGTCATGAAGCAGAAAAAAAGGCAGACAATAGTTAAGGCAGCAAACAAATTTGGTTTTCAACTGCTAAGTATTTATTAAAAAAACCCTCAGTAAAATACATAATTAAACACCTTAAAGCTTGAAAGTAACACTGGAACATTGTCTCTATCAACCTTGACTATGCAGCACAAAATGACCACGTTTACAATCCTCATTCAGTTCATGTATAAGGTGATGCAGTATTGAAGGAACAAGCTATCATATTTTAAAGGCAACTTCATTTGAAAGTAAGTCAGTGCTTGGAACTGGCCACCTCTGAGCACTTCCAGATGGCTTCCAAAATCCAGCAGCAAATAAAAAAAATTGCAAGAAAAAAAGGCAAGTTAAAACTGGAAACAAGATACTTGGTGTATTAAAGATACAGTGGGGGTTTTCTCACTGATGCAGTATATAAATACTTTTAGAACTGCAGTGACCTTGAAAAAAACAGGATGGCAGGATTAAAGATTTACATGTGCATTTCAACACAAATCCCACAAAAAGAGATACTGATTGAAGAAAAGACTATGCAGCCTTTTTAATAAAACCTGTCACATTATATTCCCAGATTACTTTGCTGCATTCTTTTTAGAGAACATGCATCTTCCCTATCCACCAACTCACAGCATTTTACCCCCAAAATCCTACATTCTTACAGCAACAGAACTCCGGACTATCCTAAGAGAATATAACTTCTCAAGCATTTCATGGTCTTGAAAATATTTGTAATAAAATAACTTTTCACAGTTTTAAATTGATTAGGCAGCAGTGGACACTTACAGTTACTCAGTGGTGAAACAAAGTATTTACTAAATTGTCTGAAAAGAAAGTTGCTCAATAGCTATGAAAATATACAGTTCACTGCTGTCACTATCTTTAGAGCAGTTTAGAGCAGTTTAGTATTACTGTCTCCACTGCCAATTCAAAATTGTAGGTAATTTTCAACAGGCATATACTTAAATAAAGATAAAATTTCTTCAAGCAAATTAAGGCCATTGGCTAACAATGAATTTAAAGCAATGTATTTCAAGGACATTGGCTACTTGTCCATAGATACCCCACCACTAAAACTCAGACAGATTTTAATACTAGAGCAGCAACGTTGAGGCAGACATGCCTTCTTATGTGCACATCAACGATATAATCTCAAAAGGAACACCTAAAGGCTAATGTGTTTTGCTAGAGGAATAATTTCATTAATTATGACTTTTAAGAAACAAATAGAATGAATTATATTAGGTTTTGTCCATGTTATTTGTTTTAGGAAGTGTCAAACATTTTATCCAATTGTTATGGAAAACATTCTGCAGTATTATACACTACCTGCAGCTCAGAATCACCCAAGGCAAACAATGCAAATTCAAAATATATCAGAACACAGATGAGGAAAAAAAGTCATTCACATGAGACAAAAGTGCATGCAATACTTTATTTCAAACATGCCAGGAAAGCTAATTCATTACCTAGTCATTTAGAAGCAAGCAGCTGTATACAGATAACAAGAAAAACAGCATCTTATTACAGCTCAATGCACAGCATTTTAAGCCAACAGGCATGAAATAATGCAGGCTAAAGCAGCATTAACCAGACATTCAAACACATTGTTAATGTCTTACAGAAAAAAGGAAAACTTGGAAATGGAAAACCACTCCTATGATCTTGTTTTCTAAGATTTCAGAATGCTGCAAATCCAATCCAAATCTTTTGTCTAATCCCCTACATCTCTCATTTTTATGTCAGTTCAACATTTGAAAGGTAGTGCATTACCACATATAGCACGTGGAATTAGCTGTCTGTGATTAATCTCAGTAACCACCTCCTTGCTAATTATATTTAAATAATTTTCAAAACCAGCACTGGTTTTAGGTTACAAATTATTTTCTTCTACTAGGCAAGGAGAGGATGCAATATATGCCCTCTCACTCAGCCCACACTCTTTAACTGAAAGGTATTTATCATATTCACCCTCGTGGCAGTTCTCTCATAGACAAGGTAGTCTGCACTTAAAACTGGAAATGCCAATTGAAGGAGACATATTTGAAGTATGCTGCTAATGGACTTTAAAATCTTTCCAGTCCTAACCATTTGTAAAGGAATGAACTTGTTCTCTCCTTCAGTAGCAGCAATTGTTCAATTACTCAGAAGAGCGTTTTGAACATTTAAATACGAATGTGGTAACCTCAAATTTACGTAAATAGTTCTCTTTACCCTAATCAATTCTGCCTTCCCCCTCTTTACAAGGTAAGTCACACTACCATGCCAGTCTCAGAAAAGGATACTGGTATGTGCATCTTTAATCAAGATGCAAGGTCTGTGTAGAATTGTGTGTAACATCATTTAATACTTGTGTGTATACACGTTTCAAACACTACTACTCCTTCACTAGTTTCTCTGCAAATATTAACTTCATCTACAGGTTTTAAGTGTATGTTTAAATACCACCACAACTTACTTGAAAGATAAATACAGGTCAAGTAATGTTACAGCATAGGGGTTGCAGTATATAGATGTTTAGCTCAGAAAATTCTACAGATCTTTTAAGCATAAGACTTCAAGCTTACACACAATAAAAATGTTAAACTATATGCCAACAAGCACAAGTTTTGTTGAAATGAGACATGCGAAGAGACAACACCGTAAAACAAGGGGAAGAGGAAAGTACAACAGCAGAGAATGGTTGTGGTATTCTATTAGATTCAAGATGACTGGATTCACCAAGCTGATGATAATGTTCTGTCATGAGTAAGTCACAGGTCTATCTCCTCTGAAATTCTGCATGCATGATGAATGAAGCCATTTAGTACACTGGGACATTAAAGTATTCATGACGTGGCTACAAAAGAAATGTACATATTCTTATACATAATAGAAAGGGAGAGATATGCAAGAAAACAAAAATATTATCTCACTATTGTATCTCTGACATGAAAAGGACATTTGACACAGAAATACAATACTGTATTTTTGACTACTCTAGAACTCATCTGGGGGGGTGGGGGTGGAGGTGTGGTAGTGGCAGGGAGAACCATCATTTTACCCCCCCTATACTTGCATGCTGGGTCCAACAACATACAGGACAACTTCATAATTATTGTATTATGTAAGCTCAGCATTTCTTCTCAGCAAAAATTTATTTGAAGCCAAGATACTCTTCTGGAGATGGACCACACTATGTATTTGTTCCATTCTGACCTCTTCAGTGTACATTGACTATTGGCTACAGTCACAGACAGGGCACTGGGCTAAGGGAACATTTGACATCACCTACCCATATCAGCTCTGATAAACATACATTGGTAACAGGCCGCTAGAGCACTGTTGTGAGCAGCACCATGCCAGGGCAGTACTTGCATTACTTGCAACAAATATAATCTATCAAAAAGAGTGCGTGTTGAAAAAATCGTAGGTATTTGAGTCACCTCTCACAGCAGGTAGTTTTCTTTGCTTCTGAATTATGCCACTGAACTTAGTACTCTTACATTACTAACATGAACATTAGTATAACGATTTGGTGAAAGATGAGTTAGAAAGCAAGCAATACTCAATTTTTTGTATTAAAATCAGTGCCCTGAAGACAGATGAGGACATTTTTAAAGGAGTAATAGCCGTTTAGGATTATCAGCCCCAAACACACCCATTACACATCATCTGGGAGGAAAAAAGGCACACAACACTATCTTTCATGATGTACCAATTAAAATTTTCAATCTATTTTAGTGTATCAGCCCCTAAAACTACAGAAGTCTTACAACAGAACTGAGAAAGTTCCCATGACTTCCAAACCTAACAATTTCCTCTGTGTCATCTCAGTTTATTCACATGCTCAAGCTTGTATATTTTTAGTTCTAATCTCCAATTATAAAAAAAGCACAAAAATATCCTAGAAGCTTTACTGGATTTATACTGCTTTTGTGTATCAGTAATCTGAACATTATTCCATAGTAGTTAAAATTATTCTGAATGAGACAAATACAAAGCCGGTAGTTGTAAAAGTATTAGCACCTATAGCTCAGTGACAGTTACAAGTAAGTTATATGAAGTCTGCTGTGATTTTTGGTAAAACTCAAAAGAATTTGGTATGTAATAGAGAATTA